CCATCGCGATCTTTTCTTTGAAATTGTCGCCACTATCGATAACTGAAGTGCAGTTCCGCTACTTCCGACTTCACCTGCTGTCTCCGAATACCCGGAGAAAATATTACTCTTTAGATATCGGACTCTTGGCGTATAAGATGGGTGATTACAGTATACGTAGACAGTCATAAATTCCTTATCTGTTATACCATGAATAATAGGGTCAGTAAAATAAATGATTGTCTCGGAAAGTAGTTCGCGTAGTTTCGGTTGCGTGTCACTGTTGTATTTTTTGCAGTCATCTCTACTGCTGTAACAATAGCCGCGATTGTAAATTACATTATCTGTACGTATTGCACGTATTTTGCTTCTATGATGCCGGCCACAGTCGCGTGGGGGGCGGGTGGGTGATAGCGTGTCTGCAAACGATCACAAACGAAGCCCACTTCCGTAAATGAAGACCAATTGCGAGATATATTGCATGGCCCGTTGCCTATTATTTCTCTGGCTGCGTAATGTTAGACGCCATCGCGTCACAAAACGATACACCGGGCAAATTTGCGCTACAAAAACTCTTTTGTTGTAGTTTAACGGACAGAGCCGGTAGATTTGGTCGTTGCGAACTTTTCCACAACAACAGCACCCGAAGGCCACCAAACAGGTAGCTGTTATGCTGCGATAGCTTCTTTAGTTCGTGCTACCCACAGTGTAGTTTTGCGCTCAAATCTTCCGCGCAAAAAAGCGGCCGCGACAACCGTATTCGATGTCCTCTGCTGTTTGTAACAATGCGAGCCTGCGCCTGTAGTCGTTGAGGTAGGCATTCGAATAGGTCTAAGTATGGCAACCTAGGCCGAGAACCTGAGACACAGCAAAGATGCGTCTGTCTGCCCAAGCCTGTATGATCTGTTACACGGTCAGCCTGTTTTGCCTTTCTGCAAAAAGTAACATAAGGAAACAACTTGTTGATGACCGACTGCTGTGTCTTGTTTGTCAGCGCATCTATAGCTGTATCGTTCTATACCAGTAATCTATACTGAAGTTAGGATTAATAAATAAATTTACATGGACGATATTAATAAACGGAAATCATCTGTTCTTTAAAGTACACTGAAATATTTGATTGGCAATTGTACTTCTTTTGTATTGAGAAAGGCCAGAACCGACGAATTGACGGTTGACATAAAAAACCTGAATTACGACGCTTTTCTCCATATCTTATAACCACTTGATTAGCGAGGTTGTAACTGTATAGTTACAGCGGCTCGCCATTGTTGCTAAGAGTAACAACGGTATCAGCTGTTCAAATCTGTCGGCTTAATTACTCTACGCCGAAGCCTTAAACGACTTCCTGGTCGTTTCCCTTATTTCCTACTGCAGTGTAGCATTTCGAACCGTGGACAAATCATAAAAAAATCAAAAAAGGGAGCGAGTGTCATTATCTGAACACGATATTAGTCAGAGTGATTCGTAATAATTGTCACTGTCGATTAGTATCAAAAACGCCCAGATGCCCCTCTCCTGGACGTCACTATTATCATTGTCAAAAAGATGATGCATAATAACCAGTGATTATAATGGTCTGGGAACGCTGAAGAGGTATAAGTCATTATTCCCGCTCCTAAAATTTTAACATGATGAAGTCGTATGAACGGTAGTTTGAGATAAAAAGGATTCATTCTGAGTCCACAATGGCAGATAGCATATTCTTGTCGAACATGACAAATTTGCTTTGACAAAATGGCTCAGTCGGTTGCATTAAGTTTGTTATTTTCCATATGTACTGTAATTTAAGTTTCCATTGATTATAGATAGTCCACCTTGACATATTGAATTGGACCTTAAATAGAACTGTGCAAAATTATCCAAAAAAAATAAAGTAGCAAATGGACCGCATACTTTGGACGCTCAAAAACGTTGTTTTTTTTTGTGGCCAGCTCTCAAATTGGAGGGCTTCTAAGATTCCAACTTTGTTGTCCCTTTTACACAGTACTCGAAAGCCCTAAGGCGTGCACGTTCGGCCTCGGGGTCGTAGATGCCGGCCCCTGTAGGTGCCACCCCATCGGCTTTTTTTTCTTTCTTGTCTTTTCCATCTTGTGGAGATACCTTCTTGAGAATCAGATGCCCTTAAAACTGTCTTTTGCAAGTCTTCGGATTCGAACACATACCTTAGCAAGACTGACTTTGATACCAGCCTCGGTGCCACCTAAACCATTAGCCAACAAACAATTGCCCTCTATAAGAGAACCAACAAGAGTTTCCTGTAGGATTGTCAAAAGCCGAACTTTCCGTATCATGTCCCCAGCGGATGCAGTGTACCAATAAATAAAAACGCAAGTATCGCTACAATTCCCTCAAAGCCACATGTAAACTTCGTCGTGTTTACCGTTACGATAATGGCCTATATTGGTGACAGATGTAACCACTGCTTCTGCCCTTAAAATAACAAAAAAACAGTACCATTATGTAGAGTTGTCTGAGGATCGCTGCGATCGTAAGCTTTGGCTTTAAACGCTAGTTTCTAAATCCGATCTTGGCTTCTATTATTTTTCACTGAACCTGCGCCTAAGCGTTCCAACTTTCCTAAACCGGCTCTTTCTGCGATACGATCTGCTTCGTACCTTAGATCTGGACGGTCGGTGTTACAAATCTCACGAACCGAGACCCTCGTCCTGCTTGCGAATCGCTGAGAAAGCTACCGACCAAAGCGTAAAGGCCGCTTGTGACATCTAAGCTTTTCCCAGCATTTTACAATTGCTGTTATTGTAATAAATTGTAACATTACTTAAGTATTAGCCGATGCGAAAGCCAATGCAGTATTTAGGTTATCGAGTTGAACTAGTAATAATAATGACGATTTTAGGAATGGTTAGAAAATGTATTACATCAGAGCTACATCCCGTTATGTCCAAGTGGCGAACATCTAACTTCCTGTGACCTTATAATGAAAGATCTCTCAGCACGAACTTTAAACGACTGTATCTTAATTTCTTGCAATTGTAAATAAAGGTCTAGCAAAGGACACCGCGAGGAATTTCAACTCCTATTTCTCAGATCAAGGTCGTTATCAGATCAAGCTACAAGATTCAGACGACACTATTCGAAAGGTCAGCCTCTAGGAATCTTAGAAAACGAATCGTACGAACGGTCGAGGAAGGAGATCTGGGCAGCGAAGCCTTGATTCTGTAGTAGCAAGCATCTGTCGATTGATTTCACGTAACAGGTATGGCTGTACAATCAGCACGCGTATGCGATGCCTGACAAGCTTGGCTACATAAAACAGCTATTCCAACGACGGCAAAAACCGGATCGTAGGACAGATGCGTTATCTATAGTCTTGGCCTATATACAACCTCTAGGCGCCTAAGTGGCCTATGCACATTCTGCTAAAGGAAATTTGACAGCATCTATGGCCATTTCGGTATACTCGATTGATTCTTTTCATTGTTGCGTCTGAGCACACGTTTCGTACATTCGTTCAAAATGTAAAAACAATTGCCTGCGTAGATACGTATTGCGTCTTTAAGCTGTGCAATTATATTCTTCCGTCGACTGTACACACCATATATAAATTCTAAGCCACTTGTGATAAAGCTTCGCACTGTCTGACAAATTAATAGCTCATCGAAGCTTTGCTCGGTTTGTTTGCTTCCTGTAGAGATAAGAACTTTTGTATGTTCGGCGCGTATGCGTGACTCGGTAAATGGCAAAGGTCCATGGCACGAGCGCGGTACAACCTGAGAATCGTTTGCTCTAAATCTCTAAAAATAGATCTCTAGAAATTACCTCCAACATGTTCACGAAAGGTAATTGTAGAAAGTAGGACGCTAAGCCTAGCGTAAGTAATGGCATTTTGCATCCGTACTCTAGCAGAGAGTCGAATATGCTCAGACGAATTTTATAGACTTTATTATCGGATCATGGAGGGACACACAAATTGGTCATCGGCCACTTCTTGACTAACATGTAGTTGAAAATAAAATTGCATTACAGGTATAGCACGTTATCTACTACGAAGATTTTTATGCAAACAGCTATAAACTGCTCATTATTATAACTAGGAGAAATAATTATTGTCGATTTTTTGAATGAATTTAAAATTTTGTTACTTGTGCATTATAATTTCAGGACAGTATTTCAAAATGTAAAATTTATGCAGTCAGTAGAAACGAACCTTAGACTTAAAAAAAAAAAACTTCTTTAAGTGTTTTTGTGATAATATTTCATCGTCCGCATTCGAGGCAACGACTCTTGCACTGGTCAACGGTACAGCTACATGGGGTGATCGCTCTTCATTTTTTAGCCACTTGCAATGTTTCCTTCTTGTCCTTCCATCTTTTCGTGTAACGGCACGGGACAGAGTGACGAGTAACCGAAGAGTAAATGCACTTTAAGGTATTTTGTAAATATTCATTGAATTTTACAAAGAGAATAAAGTAGGTTAAGAGCTGTTTTCAGGTTTATACTATGCGTGTCGTCTATGCAAGATCAAGCTAAGCTACAGTCCTTTTTCATCTTCGGGTAACAGCAAGATGGATTGCCTTCGACCGAGCGGCGTCTATATCTATATTTCATAGGAGATTACTTCTGTAGACGCATTCGTATAGGTACACTACTTCTGTATTTATGCAAGCTAGTAACATAGGAACGGTAAATTGTGTCAGTAATCCAGATCGGTGCAAAATTTCGTGTTTCGCTAAACCCTGTCAGATGTCTGGCCTTGCCAATTTGCTTGTATAATACATGCGACGCATATATGATTTCTTCTGGTGAAGCGATAACTGTTGGAGTTTGCAATGGCCATAGGCCATTGCAAACTCCAACAGGGTTATAGTCTCCTTATTTTTACATATAGGTCTTTCAACCTCGCACTTTTTGTACTTCTGCGGTAGCTGACATCAGCGCCTGTTTCTACCGTGCGAACCCGCAACCGCATGTCAATTCCATCAGCATCGATATGTTTTCGTAGAATGATAATTGCTACCGGCGATTTACTGAACTCCTGCGTTTTGAGTCATACTTACACATCATCTATACGCAGTAGCGCTTCTTCCATTTTTTGAACAAAATTTTTCATCGGTTTAGTTGACAGCGGCCACAAACAATGGAGATGACGAGATTCCCGTCATTTTTTCCCGGAAGACGCACCGGTTGCACTCCGCCAATTCCTCAGCTTCTCCATTCTCAACGAATGTTCGCAGCCTAACCCCTTCCAGTCTAGCCACATGCTCGGGTTTCCATTTCCTTCTATTTTTAAGTCATCAGTTCGATAACACGTCGACGTCGGTCCGGCCTCACAGGAACCGAGAGGGAAGACGTATAGATGAGTTGCTCGTCTGGCTGCTGAATAAGAAGCTCCGCAAAAACTACTATAAATGCTTATTTGCTGATATTACACAAGAATCTTTTTTCGTTTACTTTTTTTTTGGCAACATTCGTTTGTACATTTGCTAAACACGTGTTGTTGTCGGTGTATAGGAACAGATATGGGAACTTGTTCGAACTTGCCACTTGTTTATTAGCGCGTAACACCGAAAACCTATTCGATCGTGATCTTTCACGTCTATTGGGCTAGCTAGGTTGAACCAATTGAAAGAAGTTCGGCAAATACTAAATGAAACATTTCTTTTAAATGGTGTAAATAATTGCTAATTGAAAGTGTTAGCGCGTGATTTTCCTCAATACAGAAGCTATATATTACGTAAGGACAGATTTTGACTGGAGTCGACCTATCCGAGCTTAACTTTCGACCTCACCTGGGCTGATACGCTCGTCCTGGTGTACGTTTGCAATCCAACAAGACAGCTGTTTACTGTTAGTGTGAACTGTTTGCCGTGCGACGTAACCGACGTATTGATTCTATTCACGAAACGTCACCCTCCGCCACTTGAGCTGTCAGCCGACGTCATATTCCGCCATTTGTAGCCAAAGGATCAATTTTAGTTGTATTTAGTATGACACCGTTACGTAGAAGACCATGCTTACCTGAACTTTTTTGCACCAGTTTAGATTAGAGGCACAGATTGAACTGCTTCACTTTAAAAACATTCAATATTACCAAAAATTAAAGGAATTTCGTTATTTTGTTCGAGGAAAAACTTCTCAAGAAGTTTAGTAGCGTCTTCGCCGTCCCACCGTCCTCACAACTTCCTCGTAACTTTTTCATAGATACTTACCAAAAACCTTTGCTGGAAAACGAACCTCATTATCAAACAGAGCAGCAGATGCCATGAGCAGTAATACACATGTAGGATACAGATAGAATAGAAATAGCGTTTCATAATAAGGTGTACTACCATTAGCATGCTAGGGATGATGTATCATTCTTGCGCCCTTCGTTGGCCGAGCGCCGTTTCGTGCATCGCTTCAAAGCCGTTCGCTGGAATTTTTTCATTTTTTATGGTAACAGCTCTCTCATCTGGTGAATTCATGGACTTGATTCGTGAACTATCAGGAAACTCCATTATTCCTATTACAGTATGTACTAATATTAGCAAAAATTACTGCCGAACTGATAACCCGGTAGTTAATCAACGGAACAAAAGATGTACGAATTTGAGAATCGTAGGAAAACCAGAATGGGAAGCAGCTGGAAGCGTGTTATTGATAGCAGAGCAAGCAGGATACGTATAATGGTGGCTAAGTTAAATTGTAAGTAAAAACTTTATCGCAGGTAGCATATTGTTACATACAAGGACAAAAAAAGTTCACTTTCATCAGCATAAATATTTATTACTCAAAAATTAAATGCCAATGCCATTTGTGTCTGTATAGACATGAGGTCACGGAGTGAAGTATGTCCGCAAGCCTGCCTTTGTTGTTACCAGCAACTGTTTACCTTTTAGGTGCTCTTTAATACATGACCTTTTAATTTTCAGTTTTAACTCATCTGATTAGCAAGACAAACATTCATCTTAGGTCGTTGTTTGCACTGTATTATAACACACTACTGAAAGAAGCATTCAAGCATTACATTTAACATCAAGCCAAGTCGATAAGGTATCAGGCACGAAGTCGTCTACGAGACTGAGTTGAGAAATGTAAAACGACAAGCTTAGCTTGACATTCTTGAAGCTTTTATTTTCTTCATCGTCAAGCAACAGCCCACATTCGCTTGTCATGCCACAGACCGTAGACAAAGCAGGCCGACATACTTTGGCCAACAAATCACCCTGTTTGCTTGCGGCCAGAATTTTGTTCTACTGCGCACAGACGACGATAGCCACCGCCTGTAGAAGAGAATAGCCAAACGCTCACTCGGTGCTGACGGCAGTAGCAGCAGCAATAAGCATGGCGGCGCACGGCCGCATGGAGTATATGGGCACTGGAGAAATCTTCACGCAACATCCTAACCCGAACACCGTCACACATGCTTTGAGCGTGGTGGTCAATGATGCGCCCTACGCTGTATGCAGCTGTACGAACTATGCAGAGATAGTGTGAGCATTCCTCCATTCGTGTGCAACGCATGTATAATATGTGATTCTCAATCTTCATTCTGAGTATTTCTTTTTCCACAAAAATGCAGTTCCCACTAGTGAGACCCCCCACACCACAGTCGAAGAACAACGACGTTTGAAGCCCCTATCAGAGCGGATAGGCGAACAGCAGCAGCACCAAAAGTTGCTGCTACGCTACCATTAAACGGTTCACTTTATTTTCCAGATGCCTGATAAAAATACTCGGTGGTGTTATGAATACTTACGCAATAGTCGTTTTAGTCTTAGGCCAGTTTACCCAGAGACGACGATGAGGATGTCACAACGATGAGTCGCATTGGCCATCGTTTTACGACCTCCAGGTGTGCGTTATTCACGCCAGAGATCGTTAAACACGACTTTCTTCGCGACCCTGTCAACTTAACTATATTAACAACGTCTGCATCGACAACGGCATAGGATCGAGCAAGAGCAAACACTAAGTCGTTTGCGTCAGCGAATTGCAACGGCATCTTTCGCCAATGGGAAGGGGGGAGCAGGGCTAAGGAGATGCCTTCTAGGGCTTCTGTTGCCGCTGTTGGTCGTAATGGTGGTCTTTTTGCGGGATGGCCAAATATGCAATAAGATATCGCTCCTGAAACGGAAACAAGAGCAGATGCATTACTGCAATAAGAAGCCCTGCCATTGAGTACGCGCGTATCTCTGCGTGACTGTAGGCCTCTAAGACTTTAAAGCCATGTATCGGTACATCTACGCTTTTCAGTGGAGAGACAGGCAGACTCGAGTACGCAATAAAGTAAATAACATATCGGTGCCATATTTGCGTGGGCACTGAGGCGATAAAAATTAGCTGTTTAAGAGGTACATGTAGTCAACAAGTGGTGTTCACAAAATACGTAGGCGACCTAGTTATAGTTACACGTATATACAAAAATTCGACGATTGCCTATGTCAAAGCGTTCTAGCTAATCTTCTAATATGAATGGGTAGGGAAACGAGAATCGAGTTTTTATTAATACTCCTGCAACTGATGAACAAAACAAAGCTCAAAATAGAGCGATCTCACTTGTGCTGTAAATAGCAGCTTATTAAGCTATTCTTAGAATGGCATGATCGTAGCAACGTTTGTTGTGTTTTTGAGCAAGTGTTTGTATACTGCACTCATCGACACGTAAAGTGGTTTAGATTTAGAAAATGGCTCTAGTCAATCCTCGGTTTTTATTGGAACGTAATGATTCTTTGCTAATATGGAACCGGAGGTAAAAGTCAAGTTTTTTACGATGTCACCATAACGTTGACGTATTCGTAATAGAAATGGATAGACGGATATCACGGAATGATTGCGTACGACGTGGGTGAGAAGCAAAGAGCTCGCCAAATTCAGTGGTCGTTGTGGTGCGAAACAAAACACATCTCGATACAAGCTTATGCAATCTTTGGAAAGCTTCTTAAGGCCAATAGAGAATTTAATATAATAACGCACTTCAAATATCAGCCATACTCAGTCACATTGGTTTCTATATATGCGATAATAATGCTAGGATAGCTTTGAGTCACCCCTTGTTGATCTGTTTCGATAAATAGCCAATACGACAGTTCGCTCATAACCGTGCGCAATAAAAATCCACCACCAAGGATCATAATTATCGCACATTTCCCTGCCAAGGAAGGCCGCTAATCTCGGCGATGACAATTATCGGGAATCAGAGATTTGGAAACGAATAATATACGATCAGTCAGCGTCCCGCTCACTGCCATTCATCGCATTAATGGTGGCCAACGATGGCGTGTTCCGCTTTGTCCGTACTTGCTGTTGTTGCGACCAGAACTTTGTATCTGCTGGGTATGAGTTCGTGCGTGATCTGACCGTTCAGTCCTGTCACAATGCATCGTATCCGATGGGCCCAAAGGGGCACGGCGTTGCGGCCGTTCGTCAGCGGCTGCTTACGATGGCGCAGTAAATCTTAGCAAAGAGCTGGTAGTATACTGTGTGGCGGCGGTGGTAAAAATAGGAAACTGTTAGCTGGGGCCCGGTTCCTATCCCGCCATCCCACGATTGATACGACTGCTTTGTAGCCTAACCTAGGTGACAGACGAGGCAGAAATGGATGCACGCGCCTTAGCTAACGTATCGACGCCTAGCTTAGTTTAATTAACCTCAGTTCCATACATCATAACTCTAGGACGGATATGCGGTAGATCCAGAAACTCCCTTCATCAGAGCCGCTCGACTTACCGATTGAGCTGGCGGCCCGAGCATTGCTTTCGATAATAGTCGTTTATTGTAGGTACTGTATTTTGATGGCGTTAGCTAGAGGTTACCGTTATGTTTTGCCTATTTTATTCGTAGCTTCGTCCGCTGCTGCTACTGGTAAAAATTGCGACTATAGCGGTGACTTTGTGTGGACAGTAATAACGATGATGATCGACGGAAAGCGACCTGAAACAGCGGAAAACGCAACATGCGATAAAGTGGTAAATTTGGGACGAAAATCGAAGTGGAGACATCACGGTTTTTAGTACCAATTACTGGCAAATATTGACAGATTAGTTAGTTCCAGCTATGATTTTTGTGGTAGTTAAGTACATTAGACGTGCTTCATGAACTTGTTTGTTTTCTAACTTGAAGGAAAATGCGGCTTAGAAACCTACTTTTAAACGTAGGAGATGCAATTCGCACCATACGAGACATTCATTCACGGGTTATACGTTTTTCTCCTCATAGATTCGAAGGGATCTGACCACATCGTCATCATTATCGTTTCATCTAATTCCTTTACCTCACCTTTCCTATACAGGACAACTCTAGACTGTATCAATACCATCAAACGAAATAATTGCATATTGACAATATTACTGCCAATGTTTAGTTTCAGCCGAGCTCAAAAATAGTGGGGTCTTCATGAAAGTTCTGTCCGTTTTTGCAGTAGGATGTAAAGCGCACACCTAACGCATTCATAGGCTAACCAACATAGTACACGAGCGTATGGGTTCGTTGGCTCAGTTGCGATCACTCGAAGGAAAGGAAGGGCGAATTACTGCCACCAAAAGCGATACAAATCATCAGTACGTAGGGCATATAAGTCCTTTTCCAAGGACAATTTTGCCTACGAGTGGGAGGTACTACCGTTGCTGGTAACCACCACGGTTTCGACAAGCGATAAAAATTTACGCGCTCGTAAGCCTTCTTGCTTCGTCTCTTTTGAACATGAGATTCTCAACAAGGTATTTTCCAGTTTTACGAGGACACTCAATGGCCCCTAAACCATTACTCTACTGACCGGCATTGCGCTGATAGGATCAAAAACAGATGCAACATCACGCACGCAGTTGCCAGCGTCTGCCACAAACGCTGATTGTCAATGATTATACTCAGAACGAGTTGGAAATGTAGGCTAAGACGCCCGACTCGATTAGATACAACAGTAGTCCTGAAAGAGGCCCTTAAGGAATGCCACTAGGTCTAATGTATCCTCGATTGTATGGTCGTACGATTCGACTTCTGATCTATCGGTTCTTTCCTGGTTGCTTTTATACATTTGGTCTTGCTGTCTGAGTATTTCCTTCGACCTATTGCTAAACGGTTAGCAAAGTGAACGAAAAGCTGGCGCTTGAAGGGATCTGTTGTCAATAGCGAATTAGAAATGAAATTGATCGGTAACGTAAAGCTTGTTACAACCAAGAATGAACCATGGTTATTTTGACAAGATTCAACCAACGTCCGAAAACGCTGCGGGTGTGCCAGTTACCAGTAGAGTAGATTGCGTCTGCCCTGGTAATTATTGTAATAATGCTATATATATATATAGGTCTCGATTGAGAATTGTTTCTTTTGTTTTGTGTCTAAATCTGTATCTAAAACAAAATAGATATTTTGACAGTGATGTTTATCCAATATAGCCCCCATTGACAGCGATAACAGCTTATATTCGGGACTAACCACTAAAAAATAATTTTCAAATATTTCTTCTTTGCCCTTTGATAGTAATTGTCCGTCAAGCAATACTAACGTGAATTTGCTAAAGCAGTATTCAAATGCGCACCATACAGATAATAGCGATGAAATTAAAATTTGGGATAACAAGAGGTCGAAAGTTCCGAAAATGCAAAAGCTAAACACGGTTAGAAAGTTAAGCAGTGCAACGAAGCGGAAAAAACTTGAAAAAAATTAACCGCTCAAGCTTCTTAGGACCATCAAATTGGCAACTGATATTCCCTCTGTAAAACGGCCGTTATTTATTTGTAAAATTATACATAAGAAAATATATATCCAAGATGGCTTTGGGAGTAATTTCAAGCTCTTTAAATCTAAACACACTTTTGAAAACTTCCGGTTCGCCTCATGAATGTTATCTTCAGATTTTCTAAAAGCCGCACGAAAACTGGCGATAGCATACACCGGCAATTTCAAGCAAAGCGGGTATTTGTCCAACAATTGGATAATAGCTTAATTTCCGAGAACGACGCTTTTCAGCTCGCCATGACGAGCTTGTCGTTTTACCCTAGAAAAAAAACCTGGTTTCATCTAGAACCAGGAGCAGTCGATGAATGCGTCACCCTCATCATATATATACGATGCTACGACTCCCATAAGCAGATCGCACCTAAGTACGACCATATTGTCAATTGTTGACAATACATTGTTGGTGCTGTTACAACATTTATCTATGGTTTATTGTTGCATCAGATAACAAGTTTACGTCTGCAATGGACGCTATCCATGTATTCGGGGCGCAGCAAAGGCAAGAACGAGACATTCCATATATACAGTAATATTGCTAGTGGAAATGCGTTGGACCCCTGTGTAAGTGTTTTTTTCCAAACTAAATCTTCCAAACTAATTTACGAAAAGTTGAGTAGAGTAATAACTACTATCAGAGTGTATGCGTCATAAGGCTGAAACATCTAAATCGTCACCTTTTTAGGGAAATTATATACTACTGGAATTTGGAATCGATCTATTTTTAGTGTCAGAATTCAAATACCCAGCTATTGTCGTTTGTTTCAAACACGAAGTGTTTCTTTTCCGTACATTTTATATGTATCTAATGGTCTCAGTTTATGTTTATGCCCTACCTATAGTAGGAGAAGATAGAATGTCGGCGTTTTATTCAGGTACTCTCAACACGCGATAATGTTCACTGCTATAATTAGAAAGTGAACGACATGCATAGTATGGAAATAGCATCTGCCGATGTGGACCTTACGGAACTAGTAGACCTCTTTCAGGATGATGGTATATGGGAGAGAATTATGTATCGGCACTTTCTATGCAATATAGTTAACGATTAGAAACCCAACGAATGATTTGGGCAGGACCTACTACCAATAGCTTTTTCGACCACCCGATTCGTGTATCGGGGTATCTCTCCAAAGGTAGGATACGTGCATAATAAGCAATGAAGAACAAAATTGAAATTTTGATTAAGGTGTTTTTTTTACGTTGTGTCTTCATTGTATATCCCTAAAACTATTGTGCCTTAGATTTTTGCTCTCGTACAAAGGGTTACAATGAATCACAAACATATCCTGTGTTGACACGAATAAGGGATTCGGGGATAAATGCCAAATCACCGAAATACTTCCACGATATGGGCATAAAACGAATACAGATTTATCATAGTTAATCAATAAATTTTGGAGCTTTTAATCAGCGTCATTTGCATATTGAACTTCTACTTTGTGCTGTATAAAAACAATTACTTTAAATCAGCTTCGTAACTCTCATCTTACATGAATCCTAGATTTGTCCGGCAAAAATCATGACATTCAGAAAATAGCCAGTTTTCTGCGATAATTATCATTATACTTTGTTAATAGCTGACTGCGGCGATTTTCACTTTTGTCCCTGCCATATTATTAACTTACTATAGTTAAATTACCCAAGCAAAAGTCTTCAGCGATTACCACAGTGCAATCATAACAAGTTATGTACTTCAATCGCAACTTAGCCTAATACTAGGATAACGCAGTGACCAAATATGACGCTTCTTAACAAGTTAGTTACTAGTTATTTATATACTTAAATTATAGGCCTATCGTAAACACAGAGTAGCTACTGTCAAGTTCAATAACTTACCTATAATACTTACTGTTATACGTATACGTGCTAAGTGGTTCTGAAAATAAGGCAAAATTCGTTTTCGCTATTTTGACTTTGAAACTGTAGACGATCTCTTGAATTCGCATCAACCATCTAATCGCAGCTTCTTTACCATTATCGGATGCCATAGACACAATAGACGATAGTCATATTGACAAAACACTTGCTCTGAAAGACCAGTACGTCGGACTAGGTCTATCCAAATAGATCCAGAAGAATCATGAATAGATCTGACCATTTTAGCTCCTAAGGAGCCTTTCAACCTGTACCCAGTTACCGCGGCGCTTGTATACGCAGATCTGTATGTATATACTTGTTAACCTGGATAATTAATCAATTCTTTACAATAATTTGCTGCTATTTACATTTCTGTCAATTAGGCCTTGAGCAGAACTCTGCAACTATGAACATATTCGGGGTTACGGGCACTACGTTCCTATGTCGTACGTTGGTTTTTGGAAATTCAGCAATTCGAGCGAAAGAAAACCAATAAGAGTTCAAGGACTTTTACAGCGCCTCGTATTCCACTCGTGGTAGTTATTCAAGTGACCTTTCATAAAACAGGGTCAATGTCAGGCCATAGATACGTTTTATCGTCCGTAAAAAAGTATATAGATACGCAAACTAAATTGAGTCACACACGGAATACATCCGTGCCTATTTAAAAAGTCTGCCTGCAAAAGACCTAAATAAAAT